TGTCGAGATGTCATAGCTTTGACTTCAGACTGCACCACCTTCGCTTTCATCTCAACTTGTTCTGCCACTGCTTGGGCCTGTTCAATACTCAGCTGGAGAAGAAACACGACACACGATTGTTTAGTCAAACCAGTTTAAGTTGCATTAGGTGACGGCTCTTACATTTAACCCAGTGGCTCCAGCACAAAAACTGAAACAGGTCAATGTGCTCTTATAATGCTGCTGTAGGGCAAAGTTCAAGGCAGCAGTTTTCATGTAGCTTTTCTGAGTGCATGCATTTCACATACTAGAGTCCAGAATTTATACAGAACTCACTACAAAGGACCAGATTCTTCCCCAGCATAGCCAATGCAACCCCACTGATAAGAGTGGCGTTCCACAGGAGTCACGCTAATGCTGATTAAGTAGTCCCACAGCAAACCTATATTCTTTACACAAGTGTGTGGAGAACTGAAAATGATCTAATCCCCCAGCATTTTAGACTGACAATATATTTGATACAGAATAGAAATCACTTCTAGTAAGACTTCTGTTTTCCACTAATGCAGAGGTCCCCAAAATGTGGGGCATTCTGCTACAGGGGCATGGAGGAACATCAGGGCAGGGTGGATGTTCAGCCCAGGGCAGCCCCCATGGGAGCAGAGTATGCCACTCCACCCCCTCCCCACTCCCAGTTCTACCCCGGCACATCCCTCAGCTCCCAGACCCACCTCCAGCCTTGGTGCAGCTGTTCCGAGATTCACACAAGCCTCCAGTCTTGGCTGAGAGTGGAGCTGTTAGCCCCTATTCCCACCATGCTGTGTTTCCACTCCCATTCCCAGCAATGGCTGCAGACCACGTGCGAGCTGCAGCGTTAGCCTCAGCCCCCTTTCCTGAGTCCAGTGGTCTCCAACCTTTTTATGCCCAACATCACTTTTTGAATGTCAGAATAAGCCAAGATCTACCCCATCCTTCCCCCAAGATCCCACCTCTTCCTTGAAGCCCTGCCCTCTCTGTTCTCCTCTCCATCAATTGCTATCCCCAGCCCTTACACACTCTCAGAGTATGACTACACTGCCACTTTTTTCCCCGATTCTCCTCTTTAGACTGGGTCAAATGTCTGAAAAACCCCTTCTTTTGGAAGCCCCCTTATTCCTCATGGAACGAGGAATACAGGGGTTGCTGAAAAAGCAGGTTTGCTCTTCCACTAAAAAAAAGCAGAAAAACAAGCGTCCCTGTGGTATCCCGGAAAAACTCTTGTAGTCTAGGCGTATCTATACCCAGTCCTTATACTTGTCTCAACCTAGTGAGAGTGAGGTGTGGGGTGGGAATGAGGGATTTGGGTGTGGGAAGGGGTGAGAAGTACAAGCTCTAGGAGGGAATTTGGATGTAGGAGAAGGGGCTGTTGACTCAGGGAGGCTGGGGAGTGTTGGGTTCAAGTGGAAGGTTGGGGTGCTGAGCAAGCCAGGGCTTGTGGATGGGAGGGTGCAGGAATCTAGACTGGGATGTGTGAGGGGGCTCAGGGCAGCGAAGTTGGGAGTACGATGGGCTCAGGACATTTATTTGCCATGTGTGGATGTTGCAGAAGTGTTGTGGCAGAAGACTTAAGAATGTGGGGGTGCAGGAGTTTGGGAATGTGAAAGGCTTAGACAGGGGGTTCCGGTGTATGATAGGGTCAGATTTGGGGGATCAGGAGGGGGGGGGGTACT